TACTAATTGATGTGGTTATAATTTCGTAAATTTCCTACATATTTTCCCAATTTGAACATCGTAAATATGCGCTTGATTTCTCGTTTAATTGCCGTTAATGACCTCATTAATTACATGTATACATTTATTAAGGCTGATTCACACTATCAAAACGTCTGTGATCACAGTACGGGAATTCTGCTGATTGGCAAATTTTAAATTTGAAGAATTTGTTAGAAATGTTTGAGGGAACTTACCTGTACAAAATTTCCAATGCGATCACAAACCTGACAGTGTAAAACAGCCTTTACTGAAATAATGTAAATTACCACATTCTGTTGTTTTATTTTTATTTCACACTTACTTTCAATTGATGAAGTGCCTTTACAATGGTATTGGCTATTTCTATTAATTCATTATTATAAATAATGAAAAACACGAACCATGAACGAGCTTAGATCTGATACGAAATCCAAGTCTGATTCCTAAGTTTTCTCACCAAATATCATTCATGAATCTGTCTTTAATTTAACAATCAATTAAGCGGAATACGAAGATTTTCACATCAATACTTGATATTTTATTTTATTAGCTTTGCCAACTAGGGCGGGTCACCACAACAGCATATGTCAATTACTGTGGGCCCTAATTTTACCTAACCCACCCTGTCAACTTTCCCCGTGGGAGGAAACCGGGGTACCCGGAGAAAACCCACGACTTTCGGCCGGGAGCGCTGACTTTTACTCTTTTCACATGAGGACTGGATTCGACTAGTCGCCTTGAGAAAGTTCTCACTGAGATTTAGCCTGCATGGCAGGCGGTATTTCTACGGGCAGCGAAAATTAGGGAAGCAAAGGAAATACCGTCTGCCGCAAAACTAGGGGTTTTTGAATGTTAATCATTAACCAAATGTTTTGACGTTTTGAAACTCTGCGTTTTGAAATTAGTTCACGTCAAGTCAGACCAGAAATGGAATAACATAATAAAAGAAGCAAATTAAAAGATACAAGCTGAAAAATAACACTCTAAATAGTGTTTTTGATAGAGATTCGAACAAGAATATTTAACAAAGAAGATACGTCCGAAGGGGCCGAAGTTATGATCGGCGAAAGGTATGGGCTAGTCTATATTTTCGTTCAGACAATTACATGCGTATTAATTTGATAATATACTATCTCGCTTGACTTTCAAAGGCCATAAATCGCAATAATGTTGACATTTTACTAAAACTATCGATAGAAATTAGGAGATATTTTTTCACTGAATCGAACAGTGGGATTTCCATATAGGCCTATCAGTCATGTTCTGAACCAAAGATACTTGATAGATATTAATATATACGAACCTCCAAAGTATAAACAAGGGGCCGGTTGATGCAGTAATTATCAAATAACAGTTAAACTCTTATATATACCCGTTGAATATGTATAGTTGTAAACAAATAAAAACTATCGTTCTATAAGGGTTCAATACTTTCAGTTTGGTTGTTGACTGATGATGAATCTATAGTATAGACTTGCATGCTTTGTATTTTGAGCTTATTAAACCACCGTTTTAAGGCAGCTAAACGGGCTTGGTTTATATTAACACATAAAATAAATTCCTTGGTTCTCATCACTAGACACAGTCTACACTTTGAAATGTCGAAGACAGTGGGAGATTTATTTTTTATATTTTATATTTATATAATTTATATATCAATAGTTCGTATCTCCAAGAACAATGACAGAATGACTGAGTTTCTTTAAAATACAATGAAATTTCATTCAAATTTCTGTTTGTTTCAAATTGGAAGTTTAAAATGGCAATAAAAACTCTATATAAAATACTCTATATAAAATAAGAAAAAATTAACTGTCTTGAATTATTTTGTCGGGCGGTACATTTATATTGTATAACGAAAAATAAAACGTTTTCACGAGGATTTTAAAATTCAGTCGGGCGGTGATGAGAATCTGGGAGCAGCTTGGGAGTGGCTAATTTTGAATATTTACTTAATTAATGCATCTATAAATAGCGTTGATGCTTCAGGGGCGGTAGTTCATTTACACCCAGTTTTGCGGCAGGCGGTATTTCCTACGTACCGCCTGCCATGCAGGCTAACTGAGATTCGACCTGCGATGTTTTATACAAGAACGCTAACTCCAATTACCTAAAGACAAACAACATGCAGTTCCACTGTGTTTACTAATTCCATGTCAATGCCTTATTCTCAGGCGTCAAAAAATATTCTGTTTTCATTATTTTTAACTGCACGTGCGCGGCAAATATACGGTGGTCCATCAATATATCCTTATATAAGAAATATTATAAAACATATATACTCCTGATTTGCTATATGCTATACTTTATATATCATCTTATTTATTTGAACATTTAATGTATTCAGTTTATAGCAGTTCCCATTTTATTCTATTAACCTGCAAATTAAACAAGTTCTATATATATAAAATATTTGAGTGACACAGATTAAAATTAAGAATGTTAGCTAAAATGTGTAGAAATTTACGAAACAATTAGGGAAAAATGGAACCACAACGGTGGTTGAACACAAACTATTGAAAAATATGATGTCCCCCCCCCCCCAACAATTTTTGGAAAAGAAATATTAATTAGTGGTTGCAGTGACTCGGCAAAATTTTCCCTCAGTCACCAAAATTTACTTACACCCCCCACGCCCACTCAAAGAGGAACCGCGCCTGTCATCTGTATATACACGTATTTTTTTAGGTGACTGTGGCTCACGAAATCATAACAGGACATTGCTTTTTATTACTTATAAGTTACATAAAAATATAATTGAAATTTTTTTTCTGGTAAGGCAAAGCAATTATTTTCCCGGTAAGGCGCGGCATTATCAAAATTCGAGATATACCGCTTTTTATGGCTTCATCTAGCCTAAATAAATATATATTGCCAATTTTATCAGTTATAGGAACTAACATAAACAATCATTTGTAAATTGTAGAGACACGTACTCAGGGCGGGCTGAACCCTACAAACTAATTACCCTGGCTTGCGTGGTTGACATGCGCACTGAGTGAAGCACTTCTAATGGTATGGTGCTTCAGAAGACAGTCAATATTTCTTAATCAATTTAGTCGAGAATTTAGTTTAAGCTTCTGCATTTTGGAATATATTTTCATGACATTTTGTGTTTGACTAACTTTGTACTGGGGAACGTTTTTTTAACAATTTAGAATACTCACAACAGAAAATAATGCTGAATTTTTTATAAGGCATATTGTAAGCACTGGACTGGACTATTGGTTTGGAATGGACTCTGGACTTAAAATTTTCTTTTTACAGTAAGATGTTCGCATAAATCCCCACATTTATCGTGAGAAACAACGAAAAGGAGCTTGATGGGTCCAATAGAACAACTTGCGTCGCTTCTACAACAGAATGCATGCTGCACACATATAGGAGGGGCTCAGTGAAATTATTCCACTGTATTAATAAGTCCAATGTATCTATATTGAGAATTGTTTGTTTTCTATTTGGGTTTTAAACTTGCGGTTTGGGCTAAACTATCTGGCACGTTAAAAATATGATCCTTGGGTAATATAAGATGATCCCTTGCCATGATCAAATCTTGCATGCAGTCTAAACATCAAAACTTTTCCGCAATGATTTTGTTTTTTGTTTCCGTTTTAAAAGTTATTTCGAAGTACCATGAGGCCGCCGCTCGAAAGTTCTCGGAACCAATTTTCCGATTAAAATACTATATTTCACTTTTCGGATTATTGATATAATTTTTTAGGACATATTTGCGGCAATCGGCCGGCAAATCAAATTGGCAATAATTTTCAAACGGATTTTATTACATCCCGCGCGTTCTTTGTCAATATTAGTCTATGCATGGTTAAAGTTGAATTTTTATAAAATAAACTGATCCCAACCCCCAAACCCTTCCCTAACCCTAACCCTAACCAGTAAATGTCTAATAAACAATTTGAGAATTAAAACCGAATTCGGAAAAAAAAATTAAGAAAAATTTCTAAGTCAGACAAAAACTGAACAGTCGTCTAAACCGGACCACCTCGCCGCAAGGCTATGTTTTGCCTTTTCTGTGAAAATGCAAGAGGAATCAGGGACGTACCTAGCGATATCTGGTTGGGGTGAACTCAAAAATTTGAGCCCCCTTCCTTTCGGCCCCCACCCTAAAAAAATACCGGCCTGGTGTACACGAGATTTACCCCTCTCATTCTGGCTCCAGGCTTCGAGGGGTAAATCTCGTATACCCTCAGACCTTTGGAATAAGTGTTAGTACTGAGTACATACTGCCGATTCAGGTATACCGCAGCACATGCGTTATTCTCTGCGTTCATGCTCATGTATTGTTCTGAACTATCCCAAGGGACAGATGCTTAGTAGTTTTGGTGATCGATCTTTTAGTGTGGCAGCCCCCAAGCTTTGGAACTCTCTTCCTGCAAGTGTACGTGACACTGTCTCAATATCCTGTTTTAAAGCTCACTATTAAAAACATATATTTTTACCTCAGATTTTGACTGATATATGATCAATATACATTAATATTTTAATTAATATATATACAGGGTGTATAAAAAAAAAACTGAACAGATTTGAAATTGCTCTCAATTTCGCAAAACACCTATTTGTATCCGTTTTTTTTAAATGTATAGCTTCTTTGGGTACTTATAATGTAGAATAATGAAAAAAAATTCTCAAACTCAAATTTTGTGGACCAGGGGGGTGTGTCTTTTCCAACAAACTAAAAATGGCTCGCGCACAAAATTTAAAAGTTGTAATCATATTTTGAGTTAATAGATGGAAAATATGTCCGGTTTTTAATTACTGTACAAAATTTCGGGCAATTTGGTTTAGTTTAAGCCCTTTAACTATTCACGCAAAGTTACATGCTTACATGCTTTTCGCATGCTTAATTATGCATTTGCCTAATTTGCATATGTCAGCAATATGCAAATTAGGTAAAGGCATTAATTAAGCATGCGAAAAGCTGATTTTTTAGAATAAAATAAATAGTTAAAGGGGCTTAAACTAAACCAAATTGTCTGAAATTTTGTACAGTAATTAAAAACCCGACAAAGTTTCCATCTATAAACTCAAAATATGATTACATCTTTCAAATTTTGTGCGCGAGCCATTTTTAGTTTGTTGGAAAAGACACCCCTCCCCTGGTCCACAAAATTTGAGTTTGAGAAATTTTTTTCATTATTCTACATTATAGTACCCAAAGAAGCTATACATATAAAAAACCGGATACAAATAGGTGTTTTGCGAAATTGAGAGCAATTTCAAATCTGTTCAGTTTTTTTTATACACCCTGTATTTGTAATATTTGTTTGTGAATGTATACATTCTTAGTTGTAGATACTGTACTGCGCTCTTGATCATTTTCATGTAAAAAGCGCATTATAAGTGATTAAATTTATTTAATTTATTTATATACCGTTAAATGCGAATAGTTGTCGCGTTATTTTTAACGGTTGTACGATGACGTTTCTAGGCAGATTTTCAGACGTTTCTAAGGCGTGGCTTCAATGTTTATTTTCAAAATTTCAACGTTGTAATTCCATTTTTGAGCGCGAAAATGTTTAAGAACCATCATATTTCATGAAACTTATATCTTCTTCATTTAAAAATATTGGCGTTATACGTTTGTTCAAAAGACATGTCGATGAAAGCAACTATTAAAATAGAATGACAGAAATGTTCGAAACGTGTTTACTTTTCAACAAAACGTTGAAGCCACGCCCTAGAAATATCTGAAAATCTGCCTAGAAACGTCATCGTACAACCGTTAAAACTAACGCGACAACTATTCGGCATTCGCATTAAGGGGGTGGGGGGCATTAACGGTCTGCCTGAATCCGCAGTAATTAAAAAGAAAAGAAAAGCAATTAATCAATTACTAATGTGTCTTGCCAAACGAGTGACCACTATTTATCAACAATTATTTAATTTTATCCCATAGGTTACTATTGTTAGAAACTTTTGAAATTAAAATTCATGAATTTTAGATTTGGATCGACTAAATGGGATTCTTTCGATAGTTTTGCATCGAATTCCCGACGTTGGAAAAATGCGATTTCGACTGCAATTTTTATCCAATTCAATATTTGGTCATGTTTCTTTATATGACACAAGGAAGTTATCATTGGATAGCTAAGAGTCTGAATATTGTAGCTGTGTAAAAATTTTATCAATAAACGCATGCGAAAGTGCAAAGTTCGATTGCTTTTTGATACACCCCTGCATGTACTGCTTAATTATGTACAAAAGTGGAAAAATATGGTTTTGAGCGGAAATCTTTAATCGGCTCGTATTTGATCAATGTTGCTTGGAATGATAGCAAAAAATGTGTCATTCAAACTCTAAAAGCGTAATTCTTAGTAATATGGAAACATTTAATCTGTGCACTTAAAATCGATCGCACAAGAGTACGCAAAAGTTGGATTATACCTTTTTTGTTTATATACACCCAAATTGGTTACGAGAAAATGAATAGACTACATAAGAATATATTCGACTGATGGAAAGATGTTTCATGGACTGAAGATGAGGACACGTGGCCTTGTGGCCACCCCTAAGACTAAATACAGGATGGAATTACGGACGAAATAACCGTTCAGTTAAAACGGAAACAAAAAAAACACACAACAAAATCATCCCGGAAAAGTTTTGATGTTTGGATTTGATCATGGCAAGGAATCCATCTTATATTACCCAAGGATCATATTTTTAACGTGCCAGATATGGCCCAAACCGCAAGTTTAAAACCCAACCCTAATTAATACCACCAGTAGTATGCAAATACCACAGACATATACAACAGGTTCTACGTTTAATATTGATTATACCATTAAATGTTAACAAATGTTATGTCTGCGCGAAATGTCGCCATCCATCGAAGGCTTAGTGTCAAGATCTTATTGAAGCAGTTGATGTTTTATTGCATGTATAGCAAGAGTACCACAATGGAGCTAGAAATATAACGTAACAACGAAATCAAAACACGCAATTTAGAGACTCTAGCTCGCAATTAAGAGACCAGAGCACGCAATTAAAATGCAAGAGCACGCAATTAAGATGCCAGAGCACGCTATTAAGAGGCCAGAGCACGCAATTAAGATATCAGAACACGTAATGACAAGCCAGAGCACGTAATGACAACAGCAGAGCACGCAATGACATGACCAGAGCACGCGTAATGACACACTCTAAAAACTGGTGTGTAATTTTACACACCAAATTGTGTATAAATACACACCTTTTCGAAAAAAGGTGTGTATAATTACACATCTTTTGCAATATGGAAGCCAAGGTGTGTAATTATACACACCTTGTATACATCATTACACACCTTAGGTGTGTACGATTACACACCATTGGGTGTGTAAAATTACACACCTTTGTATTACACACCTTGCTTGTACTTATTAAAGGTGTGTTATTTTACACATCTTTTACGCAAAAACACACCTTTACTGATTACACACCTTTCCACCCTATACACTTTTCTCACTTTTACACACCTTTTGAATATACACACCTTTCTCAATTTTACACACCTTTTGAATATACACACCTTTCTCAAGTTTACACACCTTTTGAATATACACACCTTTCTCAATTTTACACACCTTTTGAATATACACACCTTTCTATGCTACACACCTTTTGAGTATACACACCTTTCCCAATTTTACACACCTTTCCCAATTTTACACACCTTTTGAATATACACACCTTTCTATGCTACACACCTTTTGAGTATACACACCTTTCCCAATTTTACACACCTGGCCTTTTGAATATACACACCTTTCTATGCTACACACCTTTTGAGTATACACACCTTTCCCAATTTTACACACCTTTCCCAATTTTACACACCTTTCCCAATTTTACACACCTTTCCCAATTTTACACACCTTTTGAATATACACACCTTTCTATGCTACACACCTTTTGAGTATACACACCTTTCCCAATTTTACACACCTTTCCCAATTTTACACA